AGAGACAGTATATATATACACTTAAGTGAGTATACGCTTGTTTGTTGCTTTAAGTTTCACGCGTTTAGCGATCATCAGACAAGTAATGGTTGGTGTTATGTGCTTTGGTTTTATATGCTGTGGTAGGTATTTTGTTTAACCAGATAATGTTTCGGCTTCAATTTGTTTTCTTCCTTTCCGTTGTTGTGTTGTTTTCTATGTTCTGACCAGGCGTAAATGTTATGGTTTCTGTACATCCGCTGGATCTTAGTGCGTCGTTGTAAGTGGGCGAGGATTTAATGAAGGCATCATTGTATTCTTTTTCCAATGGCAATGATTATGTGTTTGATAATGGATGGTGGGTGACTGGATTCAAAATTAACATATATGTGTTTGTTGTCCGGTTTTCTATATGGTTTATGTGTGGTTGTGTGTGTTATTAGCTTGTAAATGAAATAACATCAAGAAAAGTTAAACAATTTTGATCTCTTACCCATTAGAATTTGTTCCTCTTTTAGGCTTTTTCGGATTTTAAAACAGACAGTAGGCCATTCAATATTATTCATCGCGTTATCTAACATTGTATTTATTAATATACCCTTAACCATTTATTCCACCATTTCGCAACCTATGTGAAAAGTTTTATTGGTCGCATACCTCATCAGATCGTGGAAATTTTACTTAATACGAATGAAGACAAAGGAAATCAAAATTACAGTAAAGAAACGTGCATAAGTGTGGCATATGCGTCAGTGTACTTTTGTAATGCGTGCAGTACCAGTAGTTTCATTTTACTATCTGTTAAGTCTAGAAATAATTAATTGATTATTGAGGGCCCTTTATAGTTGAAAAAGAGGAAAATTTGCTGGGGGTAGGCCTAGCAATGTCGTAGGATTCACGCTAGCAAACATGACGTTAATGTTGAGGCATAAAAAGCCAGAATTAATTCTGTAATAGGACAGATGAAGGATGAGATTTATACGAAACTGAATATTGCATAGTTATGATTTAATGATGATTTTGTGAGATATTACAATTTTAAACTAAGCATTGGTTACCGCACTTACGAATGTCGCAGACGCCATATTTTCTGTACATTGCTGTTATACAGTTACACCGAGCTAATCTTCTACATGAATTTCACAATGAGACACTATTTGCACTATTAATATAACATTATGTCCTGTATCCCTGATTTATGGTTAGCAGTTATAGAAAGCATAGATAAAAATGGGAAATAGTGTTTCGTACTACGAAGAAGTTCGATTGCATGACTTGATAGTCTATAAGGAACGTCGCCAGCGTGACCACTCACAATTTTTGATATACCCAATAACTGGGTCGAAATTACCCAAGATTCAGCAAAAATTGCCCAAAATTACCCAAGCTTCCTGAAAATGCATTAAAATTTGAAAAAAACCCCGTGTTTTTCGCATGTATAGTTTCCCTTTTAGTTCAATTTATACACCATTTTTTATTGTAATTGTTTGTGTTAATTATTAAAATTAATATTCATGAGGTGATAATACGGATAGAAAAATACGCCCTCAGTCGGCCAGTGTTATCAGTGATCAAGTTTTAGTATGTAATGCATTAATTAGGTAAGATCAATGGCAACGCAAATCACAAAAAACAATTCTGAACCCATGTTTACAGCAATTAACAATGTTATGTGCAGTTCGTTGAGTTTTGCTTACTTGAATGGAGTGAAATATACTTTGTTACTTCTTAATTCTTCCTCTATGACAAAAATATTAAATTTTCTTAGTAAAAATAAAATACCCAAGGATTTGAACGGAATACCCAAGAACCCAAGACCAAGTCAAAATACCCAAGATCTTTGGTAAATACCCAAGCAGTGGTCACACTGAACGTCGCTGTTCACTTTTATCTTCACGCTCGAGTGAACATCAATATGAATATTAAATATGTAGTCGAAGATAGAGAATGTTTAATGCGCTGCTTTGATAATTAGACGAAGCAAATGACATATAGTGTTTGAACTGTAAAGTTTGTGTGTTTGTTTGCTTATTATAGCAACGCTACATTGTTCAAGAAAAGGATTGAATGCAGTTCTCGTGTTTGTATACTCCGTCGTCTGTAAACTATCAAAACATTTGTACTTCGGGTATGAAAACATGAAAGTTTTAGTTTTGTTTATTTCAATGCGTCTGGCTTTCAGGTGAAAATCATAACGACATTTTGCTCGTCATATAGTGTGTATATTAGTCTTCCGATAACCCATATATTTCTGGCAGCAAATTTAAACATGTTTGTAGTAAAACGTCTGTAAATCATTTATTCTTTTCGAACTGTAACTTATTGAAAGATTTGATAACTTATGTGATCCTGTTACACAAATAGGCCTAATTCAAATTCATTAATCAGTGTCAGTTTCAGTTCATTTTATTCAAATCAAAATCACATCCAAATCTGAATTATATGATATTTACAAAAAAAAAATTAGGCTTATATTAAAACAACAATTCAACACAAGCACAAAACATGAAAAATGGAGATAAAAGTAACATTAAACTACATTAAAATTTGAAACATCAGAAGTACACAGCAGGTTTAAAAAACATATACGTAATAAATAAATTATATTTTTTACTAATCATTGAATTATTATTATTACTGTATTATTAAACAAATTCAAGAAGGAAAGCAAGAAAAGCAATCATCCATTGCACAAAATTCAATTACCATTAGAATTACATAAAAATCGGAAAAGAAAAAGGCGACATAAAAAATGGACCATCATTTAAATTAAAACAGAAATAAAACAAAAGTGAATGTCATTTAAAATGGACCAATAACTCTGTATATAATGTGTGTTTATTATATATTTAATTATTATTTTCATTGTTATATTACTTTAATTAATTTCATTTTCATGACATTTAAACTTATTTTGTGGGTGATTTGAAAAATCTTTAATGAATGAAGTGGTATCTTTTAATTGGTTGAAAAAATAATCAAGTTGACATACAGTAGGTTCTTCTGAACTCCGCTATTACTCGCGTATAAAACGACAGACGTGATTTATTGACTTAATCCCTCAAACTAAAAAAGAAATACTACAATATTCAATCATTTCACCACCATAACATTCAGGTGATAGATTTTGCCTTCGGTTCCGATGATTCGCGTCTAAGTGCTTGACATTTATTTTGGGTTGTGGGCTTAAAGGTTGTGGAACAGAGAGTTATTCAAACCTGTTTACTGTATTTCAACGTTTCTTACCCTTTATGATCTTTGGGCTTTTAAATTTTTACGTCTTGATTTTATTGTTTGTTTGATCTGATTTAGAAGAAATAAATATTTATTGATTGATTGCTTCTTTTTTTTTTATAGATGCCTGTAGCTAGATTATTTCTATCAACAAATTACAAGTTTCCACAAAAATACGACCTCATTACAGTACTGTTGTATTTTGATGCATGAATAAGTATGACTATTTTTTTTTTATGAAGCTGGTGTTTGTGTCTTGTTATGCCAGAGTATTCAAGAGTATTTACAGGATTCTAATGCAATACGTACCTGTTGTGTTGTCGAAGTATCGGGTCTTACTTCGAGAGCTATTTCTTTTTTTCGACCGTCTTGTTTGCTTTTCACTCTACAGTACACAGAATCACTCTGTTGAGAATCTTTGGTTTTGAGACGAAATCGACAAGATGGTGGTGTGCTACCATCTTCTGGTTCGCTCCATAATTCTTCATAACTTATTTTCTGGAAGTAATTAATTTCACTTATTATAGGCCTAACAAACAAATTTATGTGACAACTCATGAATGTCTTGAAACAGAAGCTGGTGATTAAATGGAAAGGACAGTCTTGGTGTTTGCTGTCTTGCGGAAATATGTCTCTTTGTTAAGTAAGGTGTGAGTGGAATTATTGGGGTATTTCCTTAAGACTAAACAGTTCTAATTCTAATAATACTGTACGCTTACCATTTCCTTTTCATATTCCGATATCCATCCTTCTTTCAGGTTTTTCAAGTACACTTTTACGTCTTTACCAGTGTTTTGTACGCTCAATGTTTTAATCGAATCTAAACACGCTTCATGAAGTTTGCGCTGTTCTTCCAGTACAACCTAAAATATGTGTTCAGACAAACAATAACAACTGATCGGACAAATATTTCGTACTGGGCATGTAAGAGAAAGAATATCTTATACATAAAGAATGATTAATAAAAAAGAAAATATAATATATTGGTAAAATCTTAGTTTGAAACTTACAGCTTTATCATGAGGATTCCAGGCACGAACGTTAAAACAATATGAGTTACTTCTGTCGTAACTCTTGCCGAATGTACAAAAATGTATGAGTTTAGAAACCTCTTGGCCCCGCGTGGCTCCTTTTAATGCAAATTTAGTAAAATGATCGACCATAATGAAACAGTGACCTCCTTGTACTAAGCATATTCCATCACAATCATCACTAATATTCTGCCAGTGGTCACCCGGGTCGCTGGAATTTTTTATCATCCCTGAAAATGTCCATTGCTCTTCATCCTCAGCACAATGTGGAAACGAGAGAACGAATGGCACCTTAAACGATGTTCCCGGTGGCCCACAATGAACAATGGGGGAGATTCGTGTCTCATTTTTCTTTTCAAGCTTCAAGTGTGTGTTTTGATCTAAGTAGATATAAATTTCTTTGTTGGTTCTAGGTGGAATTGCTCCTGGTGGAATGAATAGATTAACTCCAGCATCGGCAATAGTTAGGTTGCCACCTTTACTGTCGAATATTCCAGCTGAGAATATGGAAGTTGTGAAATTGATTCGAGTTACATCTTTCAGTATGCACATTGAAATCTTTTGATCAAAGATTCGAAGCATTTTCTCCAAAGCGGTGCCGTGTCCGACATCGTCAACAAGTAGTCCTGTAAGAATCGATATCACAACATTACTTTTTTCCAAGTATACTTCATCTTTGTTGCCCCTTTGTGACACCCTGCATACGCTCGATGAAGCCAAGACGTGTGTTTAATGTTATATTCTCTTTATTGTTTCTTGAATAAAAAATGATTCGATGACGGAATCAAAATACACTGTTGCGTGCCCATGAAAAGATAGACATACAATGTAAAATAATTAAAATAATCACCTTTACCTCTATCGGCATAACTGTTAAGGTTGTGTGGAATTTGAAACTTATCCATCAGCATTGTTGTCGTCAGATGTTGGTTTTCCTGTAGTACTAAAATATAATATACATTTATATCATACACGTTAAATTCATACAAGATACAATATCACTTTATTTTTTGAATCAGACATTCTTTTTCACCCAGTGTGTAAATGATGTTGCGCACTGTTCCGTACAATTACAACTTGTATAATTCAAATATAATTCATTTCCAATTATTTTTTTTACCATGCCTTTTTAATTTCCTAGGGTATCGATATTATCAAAATTTTTGAATTAAAGAATGGTTTGGTACTCACACAATCGATAATTCTGTTCCAACGCTATAATGTGCTGCCGATACATGCTCATGACTTGTGCTGTAAGTGATATAAAAATTATTCCATCAGTTTATTGTTTTATTAATTTTTAACATAACTAAATATGCATACAAAAACTTCCAATATGTATTTATGATGTCCATTTATGCGGATAACATTACAAAACCTATTAAAATTGCATAATGAGACACTGTGGACTGACCATCAATTTCGATCAAGTTATTTGGTACCGGTACTGGTATTGCTGCTCCAGCCTGTAGCATTATCGGGACACTGAGTAAATCATCACCTTGAACGTTCCTTCTCCCCATAGACGACAACTCAATCTGCAGATTTTCTTGTAGCATCTTGATATTATCAAACAGAAACGGCAGCGTGCTGATTAGGGGTAGGTATATGGTTCTCACTGACTTTAAATCCTTGGTCAGGTTTAAAACTTCTGGGTGAGTTTTATCATGTGCCTTTTTACCTTCTGCAAAATCCTCAATATGTTTTAAGCTGTCAGTCAGAGGTTTTTTAAAGTTGAACTGGATTTCGACATCTTTGATTTGCTTTACATGCGGCAAAATAGATTTTGACGAATTTAATAATGTTACAAACTGTTGTAACGGTCGTCCAACCAAGTTTAAAGTATTTCCGTAAAGTTGAAATGACTTGATGACATCTTCGACAGATGGTATACTCGATGCCTTTTCACGTTGACCAGTTACTTCGAAATACCTTGGTAGAACAAATCCAAGATCGTTAAGGAGTGTCTCCACTGACCCCTTTAAACGATCCCACTGAAGTTTGAGTTGACTATACAACACATTTAAACCCTGGGCTGCTACATTAACTTGTGAAAGTGCTCTTTCTCTAGCCGGTTGGTTTTGGGCCAAAAGTGGATTCTGGGGCATTCCAGGCACGCCCAGAATGCTAGGGACAACATCTCCTGTAGAGTTAAATAATATTGTAAGAATAGAATATGTTAGCGAAAAATTAGTATGCATCATCATAAAATCTCTGGGAATTCTAAATCATATTCAACAATACATGTAGATGGAAGAAAGGAGTCGACATGCTAATATTTTGTAATGTATGTTTAAAACAATTCTTTTCTTAACATTGTAATGTCTCCTGTTTTTTTCTTCCCTTCATCACCATGCAATCATTACACATTGCAAGACGCAGTCTATCAAATATGATACAAGTGCGGGTTACGATGAATAAATGCTGTTAAATCTGCGAATGCTCAAATCGCTCTAATCGCAGCCATTGTAAACACCTAACTTATTAAGGCGTCCAAATGGAAAAAAAGAAATCTATTGAAATACATGTAATAAAATTCCTCTTATAGTTAGTTGCATCACTCTCAATACAGCTATTCTAACACAATGTGTTTTTTTGTTAACGTAGCATTGTATGGCATTAATTGCAGGCCGTAACAATGGACATGACTGCTGACGCAGGGCGCCAAAATAGAAAAAAGGTGCTCGCACCATGGTGCTGGTAAACACATATTTCTTTTCTTTTTTTATTTTTAAATTTTATAAATGTTTAACATAGCAAATTTTATCAACAGCAACAGACCAACTGGATTGCACACTGCATCTGACAAGACAACTGGGATCCATGCACGATTCCCACATTTTATCAAAACAAAACGTGTTATCCAAAGAGCGATTAACGGTAGCAACTGGAAAGAGGGCAATTTATACATAACTGCTTTTTGCGAGTTATTGCAAAACACCCATCTGGTGCTCTACTATTTGGTAAGGGGATTATAACGCTCTCTCGTAAAGAGAACATTTGGAAGGCGGTCATGAGAAGATAAACTGAAAATTATATATATACAATTGATCAGCAATAGGAAATAAATTTTAGATTGGGTAATCACAGCGATTGTCCTGCCTAGGCTAGACTTGACCTGACCAACTAAATGAGCGCCCCTCCCAAGGATGAGTTCCAGGTTCCTCTTGACCGGGATGAGAGTACCCATTAAGGGTCCCACCTTGGGTGACAGGTATTCATTCATGTATAATAACAAGTAAGAAAAATCTCTTTCAATGGATGTGTATTATGTCAACCATTTTCATGGTCAATGACCACCAAGTGTCTTCGAACATGATGACGGATGGTGAACAAGTAATTGATTTAAATAATTTTCAGTGGGGGCTGTAGAAATATGTTGTGTTAGTTAATTACAGATTTGGGTTGTTGAGGGAAGAAACGATTTTGGTGTTTAGCCAGAATTGATTTTTGGATCCTCACAGTAAGATCGTGAGAACGAACATACCTCTTCGTCGAGGACCTAGGACCAGAGGGACATTTATCGAGTTACAAAGTTCTTCAGGAGCCTCCCTTTTAACATTCCGTAAAACATGGTACATACGCCAAGGGTCCTACGATGATGTAAAGGGAAGAGTCGTTGCGCAATGCATTCTTCCTCTCGCTTGGCTCTATTTTGGACCGTATCTAGTTCAAGTACTATTTATTTCACCTTTTTCATATGATACAATTTGTACAGTTAGATAATAATCCTTTTTTGTAAAAGGTGGCTACATCTTAAAGCTCTGTGGGTTTTTCTTGCAGAACTTATTGTAGCCTCCTTCCATACAATATATTTGTTTCAATTAATCTGTTTCATACTGCATCTTGTATTATTTAAACTGTATGGAAAATATAAAGTATATTAGATTTAATTTTATTTGGAAAAAAAGGAGAATAGAACATTAAAATTATTATTTTGTAAAAAAAGAACTCTGCGAATAAGCATGCTGTTAGTTGCCGAGTCCTAACGTTAAATAATACAAATTTTGGAAATGGCATTTCGGAATAAAATAACTTTTTACCAATATAATTTAGCATAGACACACACACACACCCATCCCCCCCCCCCGCACACACACATGTAAATAGATGTGTTCAGTTATGTTCATTTATATACTTTTTTAAAATTATTATTTTTATAGGCTTATTTATATTTAACCAAATTTACCTTTGTAATCTCATTAAATGCAATTTTAGTAATACCAATGTCATAGTGTCACTGAACATTGTATTCTGCCGGGGATATCGGCGCTATACAAATCCTTGTTGGTTGATTGATTGATCAAAGTTCAGTGTTGCCATAAATTGCTCTCAAAAAAGAAGGAAAGCCACAATTCATATAGGAGAAAAAAAATTATATGTACTTTCTACATATTAGTAGACTATGAAGTTGATTAAATAGGCCTCTGAAACCCCTAAATTGTCATATTTTTTTTCTGGGGCTCTAGTCTGTTACTGGTATATCAACATCCAGTCTGTTTTATTGAATCATGAAATATTTGTTAAGTTATTTCAAAGTAAACATAAAAGAAGGTGATTATTTATGTTATGCAACATAACATAACATAACGCTCGCGCCTTTGATCATTCTTGGAATTGGCCCCTTATACATGTTTGAGTATTATTATTTTTATTATTATTATGCAACTTGTTTTTTTGTATGTATTTTCTTATGTTAGACATGAATAAAAAAAATGATTTGTTTTTAGGCCTATGATATTGCACATGACGGATGATCAAGTGCACCACTGTACTTGGCACAATTTGCGAAGTCCAGCTTCGCAGCATGCATCGAGCGAAGTTTCTTAGCTTAGTTAGTGGAGTTTTAATAAATTTTAATTGAAAGAATATTTAATATTGTATCTTGCAGACTGACAGTAAATGTATCAAATCAATCACCTGTTTTATTTTTTCATTGATTCAAATACACGCTCGCCTATGGCTCTGGAGGTGGAGCAAGTCTTTCGAGACGAGTAGGTGGAAACCCCTAGAAATAATAGATATTCACTTATATTAAAATTGCACACAAATTTGCCTTGATGTCCAAAAAACTTGGAGAAACCAATTCCTTTGTCCGTTCCACTCTACCATTCAAAATTCGCATTCATTTTTTACAGTATTCAAGTACGGTCATTTTCTAACATACCCATCTGTGCATTTATCCATTGAAATTATTTCATGTGTGTTATTCTGGTGGATTATTCATATCTACTGTATATTTTTGAATAGTGGCATAGTATTCAAATCATTAGTCTCAGCAGTTACAGAGATCCCCAGCAAAGACAAAATGACCTTTGCTATTTACCCATCAATCAAATTGTTTACCTGTTAGTACATGTGAGTAAATAAAAGCCAGAAACATATACTTTTTTAAATTTTATTTTCTTGCTAAAATAAATTTTGACCTTTTTATTCTTGCTTGCTCTAACATATAATGCTTTTTTAATTACCATGTTAAGTCCATTCGAATTATATATTAAATATATCTTAATATAAATTAATTTCTTCTTGCTTGAGACCATTTAATGTATTTTGGGCCTACTTTTAAATCGTCTAATCGTTGGTAAGTGTCCTTCATTAATTCCTATTCCTTCGTTCTTATCATTTGGTTGTTTTCCTTTTTCCTAAAATTTTCTCGTTTCCTTGCCCAATCTTTATGGACAGATTTTCTTTCTATTTAGTATGACCATGGAGGTATAGTATTATGTTAAAACAGAGATCATTGGCATTTCAAGGTGTAAAGATAATAATTGGTAAGTTTAATCAATACATCGATAGCTATTTTTATCTGCCAGGATTCGTTGTTCGCTTTCTGTAATCCATAGATTTGTTTTATTCTGCTCTCGGTGTCGGTAGTATAGATTTTATAATCACGCCTTTTTTGTCTGTATGTCCTTGATATTACTGTATTATATATTATCTCCATTGTGTCTTTATCACGGTTTGGGAATTTCCAGTTTCTAACGCTTCAATCAATAACGTTGGCACACTCGCGTATTAATATTTCATTATTCATTGGTAAGTGACGAATTGGTACATGCGTTCAACGGAAGGGCCAGAAAAAAAATAGGTCCAATACGGAAGTTACCAAATAAAATAGACCAAGTAAAATCCACAAAAACCTTTAACAAATGTCGAAATCGACTTACCATGGAACTAATATATTTGCAATGTCGTTCATAAACGAGAATTCATTATGCCTTCTTATTAGCTAGTGATACGTGACACAACACTCGTCGTATTCGATTTGCAATCGAAATAAAATAAAGATATTCGCTAATATTTCATTTATATCCGCAAAATTATCCAAATTTCAAATTTACCTAATAATACTGTTCTGGCTACACTTGATGTTTCGTCATTATATACTAATATCCCTCATGAAGAAGGTGTTAATGCGTGCATTTCAAATTACAAGCAAATTCGGGGCACAACCCCATCTAAATCACATCTCCACATCTCCGTGAACTTAGCATGCTGATTCTGACCAATAATAACTTTGTTTTCGGCGACGGTCATTACCTTCAAATTCATGGCACAGCGATGGGCACCAAAATGGCTCCATCTTTTACTAACTTATTTATAGGACAATTTGAGGCCAATTTCCTGTCCCTACAGCCCAAGAAACCAGATGTTTGGTTTCGTTACATTGATGATATCTTCATGATCTGGACCCATGGTGAAGATAGTTTGGATACGTTCCTATTGAACATTAATTCGGCTCATCCCACAATCAAATTCACTGCTAACAAATCCACAAGCAGTGTAGATTTTTTGGACATTACCGTGACCATGGAAAATGGCGCACTTAAAACTGATCTCTTCCGTAAACCCACGGATAAACATATGTACCTGCTCCCTAGCAGCTGTCACCCCCCGCACTGTACAAAAAACATTCCCTACAGCCAAGCATTGCGCATGAGACGCATTTGTTCTTCGGATTTAGATTTTCAGAATCGAACAGAAGAACTATCCGGACATCTCCGGAATAGAAATTATCATCGAGGACCCATTGAAAATGCTATAAAAAAGCAAAGGACATACCTCGTGCTCAAACGCTGACGTACAAACCACGTCAACGATCGACCAGAGTGCCACTGGTCACTACCTATCACCCTAAGTTACCACCACTAAGGGCTATAATTCAGAAACATATGCCCATTCTACAGACCACAGACGTCTTAGGTTTGTTTTTCCGGATACACCGTTCATAGCCTATCGCAGACCACCTAACCTTCGTGATATATTAGTACGATCTAAATTCAAGAGGCAAACTAACTCTTGCGACAACCGTAATTTGGGTAGTCATCTTTGTGTAGATGTGTATAAGAGACAGATCGAACCTTCGCACAATATTTCGCTTTCACGTAAACC